CCACCCAGGGACTCCTTTCCACAGATATGTTGTGTGCCTTCAAGTCAATTCCAACTCATAGTGACCCGATATGACAGAGTAGAATGGCCCCATAAGGTTTCCTAGGCTGTAATCTTTACAGGAGCAAATTTCCAGGTCTTTCCTCCCATGGAGCTGCTGATGGGTTCCATCTTCCGTCCTTTTGGTTAGCAGCCGAGCAGCTAACCATTGCACCACCAGGGCTCCTTTTCCACAGGTATACCAAAAAAAGCAAACTTGTTGCCGCTAAGTCGATTCTGACTCATAGCAGCCCTGTAGGACAAAATAGAACTGCCCCATAGGATTTCCAAGGCTGCAATCTTTATGGAAGCAGACTGCCACATCTTCCTCCTTCGGAGCAGGTGGTGGGTTCAAACTGCTGACTTTTCAGTTAGCAGCCGAATGCTTGATCACTGTGCCACCAGGGCTCCTCCTATAAAGAGTGAATTTGGAAGTAGATCCTTTCCCAGCCAAGCCTTCAGATGAGAACGCAGCTCCAGCCAAGGTCTCTTGTGAGAGACCTTGAGGCAAAGGTTAAGCTGTGCCCGTATCCCAGACTGTGGTGGTTAATTTTATGTGTCAACTTGGTTAGTCTATGAGTCTCAATGGTTTGGCCAGATACCAGATGTGTTGCTGTTCCCTAATGTAATATGTGGTGGTTAAGATCATGTGTCAGCTTGGCTGGACCATGATTCTCAGTAGTTTGGCAGTTATATAATGATGTAGTTATCCTCCATTTTGTGATATAATGTTATCACCTCCTTGATGTGATCTGATGTGATCAGCGAATCAGATGTAACGGGAGTTTCCACAGGGGTGTGGCTTGCATTCAATATATATGGACATTCTGGCAAAGCTCACTGGCTTTTGCTCACTCTGGATCCTGCATCTGGCTTGTCATCATCTGATCTCTGGTTCTTAGGACTTAAGCCAGCAGCCTGCTGTATTGCCTGCTGATCTTGGGACTTGTTGGCCTCTGCAGCCTATGAGCCATCAGCCTGCCATCTGACCTGCTGATCGATCTTGGGATCGTCAGCCCCTGCAGGTACGTGAGTCAGGAGAAGCCTCCACCCTGATGCCTAACCCATGGACTTGAGACTTGCCAGCTTCTACAACCACGTGAGCCATTTCCTTGTGATAAATCTATCTCTCTCTCTCTCTATATATATATACATATACACTTATTGCTGTCAAGTCAATTCTGACTCACAGCGACCCTACAGGACAGAGCAGAACTGCCCCAAGGAGTGGCCAGTGGATTCGAACTGCTGACCTTTGGTTAGCAGCCGAGCTCTTAACCACTGCGCCACCGGGGCTCCAAAATTAACTGTAAGTTATTAGAAACCTGTAAGTCCGAGGAAAGTTACTTAGAAGATTTCTGAACTTAGAAACAGAAGCGAATGAAATATGTAAAGAACATAAACAACCTTTAAGTTCTTTTGACCTGGCATGCCGTGACACAAGAAAACATAAATCTAAACAACTTCCCTAATCTCTAACCTTGAAGAGAAGATGCATCATTTGTCTACTCTCTAACCCTGGATAAAAGGCACCACATACTAGTCTTTGATGTCACAGTGGCCCTTGTAGTGTGGTACCAACGTGACAAATTCACATATAAACCCTAAATTTCTGCTCACTCACTGAGAGAAGGTAGAGGTGTAACTGAGATTCTGTCCACTGCCACCGACCTTGGACCCTAGCTACTAGCTACAAGGGCCCCCCTCCACCAAGTTCCAGCTGTGGTTAAGCCTTCCTCCTGAGACCTCCTATTAAAGGTTAAAGCCTGAAGTCTAAAGAGTTAGACTCTCATCATTGAACTAACATTGTAATTGTAATTGGTAATTCTGATCCTCTGGTTCTAAATGAATGTTGTGAGGTCCTACTTGTGTGCCTTGCCATGACTACCTTGCAATAAACTAAACAAGTTTATGCATGACAAACCTGAGTATCTCTCTATTAATTTTCTAAGATTTCTAAAGTCCTTCACACACAACCGCCAACCTTTGGATTAGCT